GACCTCGGGTACAAGAGACGGGCGACCTCGGGTACAAGAGACGGGCGACCTCGGGTACAAGAGACGGGCGACCTCGGGTACAAGAGACGGGCGATGTTGTGTCGTACTGGTCCGCTGCTGACGTGGTGCTGCCTGCGTCGTATGAAGAGGCCTCGGTATTGATTCTGCCAACTTGCGTTGCTGCGGTTACTGACCCCCCTATTCGACGGAAAAGCTTCGGCGGGCGAGGCATAACAACTGAAAGCCGACAACGTCTCACTGACATACCAAACCGGTCGCTCGCCAACGAACTGGCGCAACCCACAAGTCGGTGGTTCGATTCGAGCCGGAGGTTGCGTAAACACACGGGAGTTGGGAAGGTGACTGGATCGGCTCTGCAACAAGGGGGTGACGAAAAAAATAGACGGGACAGTTGAAGCACGCACCTCCGGGACAAGGATCAACTTCCCCTGTCCTGGTCCCCGCGTTCTTTTTCTTGGCTGGTCTGTTAGCAGTGTGTGAAGCAGAGACGTGGCCAAGTGCGTTTGCTGTATTTGCGGTAAACACTGGGGAGGGCGAATCTGCTTCCGTCTACTTCGTAGGCGCGGTAGCTCTTGAGTAGCTCGGTTAGCGTGGATCTGGGCAGGTTGCGGAGGATGCGGGTAAGCTCGTATTCGCGCTCGTCACTCTGGTGGCGTTCGTCGGGGTGGAGATATTCGGGGTCAAAGGCGAATTTTTGGACCCAGTCGCACACGCGTGTGCGGTGGTCCAGGGAAAGGCCACAGCCCTTCGGGTTCAGTTCCGCGACCCGATGAAGCGCGTGGAGAAACTGGCGCGTGGTGCCCAGGAGTCGCCGCTCGAAGTCTTGGTCGCTGGCGAATACGCTCCACCGCTCCAAGTCCGCCTCCGGAATCGTTAACATCGCCGTTTTCCACCACAGTTTTTCGGGACGCGTATTCGGACTCAACCAACCCGCAGAGATGCTCGCTCCCAGCACCCCGTCTGGCAACGCCGTCAGCACATCCAAACTTCGAATCAATGCCATCCGACGCGGTCCCCACTGACACTCAGCCACCTTCAACAAGTCCGGTAACCGGGTCGCGTCCACAATCGTTGGGGTCCTTCCGTCATGGTTGAAACACACCGCCGGCAACACGACGCGACTGACCACCGCGTTATCAAACCGCCACTCTGCATCCTGGACAGCCTCCAACGACTTCATGACCCAACAATTTTTTTCAACACCTGCCCCTACCCCCCTGACCCACACCTCTTGAGTGGCGATATTTTCGCCCGAACTTATTTGTCAAAAAAATGAAAACGGTAACGGCTTCACTGTGGAATGAGAGCGGAGCTTCTCGCGTCCCGGCTCACCCCTGAGGGAACCATGTGCGTCGTTGATGACCGGCCGGTTGAGGAGAACCTTCGAGAGGTGGTGCGCGTTTTCACGGAGGCTGAACCCGACCTGGAGAGGGGCTCACCACATCGGAGCTGCGAACGCAAGATGTGGTACGTGTACCTCCACTCTGGGCGGGGCGAGAAATCGACTCTGACCATGACAGGCATATACCACAAGATACCGATCCGCTAAGACAGGACGTGAAAGACGATCCGGACGGGGGGGGGGGGGGGGGGGGAGTAGG